AATGTCATAGACATGATTTTTTCTCTAAGGTTGTATTCATTTATAGCTTCCATTAAATGGTGAGCAATGTTAATACCGGTGTGGGGGTATTCTAGTATTTTGAAATGGATTATTCGTTTTTGTAACAACCATTGATCATCTACCCAATGGAAAGTCACACATAAATAGTGATATTTATAACCATTATCCCAAGAATCGGCAGTTAAGACACTCTACAATTAAGTTTACTCAATTCGTCTTGTAACCGCATTTTGTACTCTAGGAAGCTTTTCATGGCGGCGGAACGAACGGTTTTCGTAGAGATTCTTTTATGTTGGGGTTGTAATGCTTTATTAATGTAAGTGTTAAATGGGTCACTTTCGGAGAAAAGAAAAGGTTGTTCGGTGTGTACTATCATTTTTCCTAGTTCATCCATATCCCTCTCACACTACTAGAAAATAGGCCATTTCCGGCGGAATAATTCCGTCGGAAACACCCTGAATTCCGTCGGAAAACACTGTTTCCGACGGAATTACCGTCGGAACGTGTTGTCGGAAGACATTTTGTAGGAAAAATGGCCTTTTTCGTCGTAAATTCCGTCGGAACGGTGTTTTCCGACGGAATTTTCTTGTAGGAAGAAAAATTTCGGCCACCGGAAAGTCCGTCGGAAATTTCCGACGGAATACAAATCCGCCGGAAACTTCCGTTGGAAATAGCAATAAAAAAATAAAAAAAAAAACCCACCACCACCCCAACCACCCTACCCCGCCCAATACAACCACCACTTCCCCACCCAAATAATTTAAAAAAAAGCCCAACACCATCTCCACCCCACTACTCCACCTCCCCCTTAACCACCACTCACCACCAGCCCCCACCACGCACCACCAGCCCCCACCACGCACCACCAGCCCCCACCACGCACCACCAGCCCCTCTCCCTTCCCCGTCACCCCACCACCTAATCTCCCCACTCCCCACCAGCCCCACCACGACAACCGGCCACCCCAAAAAAAATAAAAAAAAAAAACAACCACAAAAACAGTAAAAAAATCGAAAAAAATACAAAAATTAAACCAAAATTCGATAAATACAATACAAAAATTAAACCAAACAAATCGAAAAATACAATACAGACCAATCAAAACCATAAAAAATTCAATCAAATCGAAATTTAATTAGAATTTCATATAAAAATTAATAAAAAAAAACGATAATTATACATTAATAATTAAAGGAATACAATTAACATTACAAATACAAAAAAAACTAATTAGATCTAAATCTAAGATAAATTAAAACTAGATCTAAAAAAAAAACCTTGATAGTGTTACGCCGTTGTTGTTGACGGTGGTTGTTGTTGATGTTGGTTGACGGTGGTTGTCTTAGACGGTTGTTGATGTTGGTTGACGGTGGTTGTTGTTGACAGTGGTTGTTGTTGGTTGAAGTCGTTGTTGTTGTTGGTTGAAGCGTTGTTGTTGTTGTTGGTTGAACACAGAGAAAGAAAAGAGGAAAGAGAAAAGAGAGAAAGAGAAGAGGAGAGAGGAGAGAGAGAGAAATGAGGAAACAAGACGCACAGAAGAGGAAGAGGAGAGGAAGAGGAGAAGAGGAAGAGGCGCACAGAATGAAGGAAGAGGAGAGGAGAGAGAAAGAGAAGGGAGGCGAGAATGAAAGAGATAAGTTGTTCTTAGGGTTTTTTCCTTTTTATATTACTTATTTCCGACGGAATTTTCCGTCGGAAATTTCCGACGGAATATTCCGTCGTAAACTTCCGAGGGATTTTAATTCCGCCGAAAATGTAATCTTCCGACGGAAATATTCCGTCGGAAAGTTCCGAGAGATTTTAATTCCGCCGGAAATGTAATTTTCCGACAGAATATTCCGTCGGAAAGCCTTATTCCAACGGATTTTAATTCCGTCGAAAAGTCCGTCGGAAATTTCCGACGGAATTTTTTTCGTCGGAAATTTCCGACAGAATTATGTGTCCGTCGGAAATAGACCTATTTCTAGTAGTGTCATAGTTGTAGGTAAAGCCGTGTGGATGGAATTGGGAAATTTTTTGCTGGGTTGGATCACTAGCTGGTTGTGCACATGTTCTAAAGTGTCTACTTAAGTGTCCCGTCCCGGACTTGGATTCTGCCGAGTATATTTTACCACATGTTACATTTTGCTCTTGTTTGGGCTTTATTTAGCACAAAATAATTTCATACATCACTTTTGCGGCTTTTAGTATTTACCATGTCACTTTCGGTTAACCATTGCACTTTTGTGTTTGGGAATTGGGTATTTGTAGATTCGGGAATTTGTTGGTTAGTAATAGAACCGGAGGCATTTAGGGTATCTTGTTCGCTACCTTGGCTAGTATAAAAATTTGTGGGTCAAAGAAATTAGGTGGGAATTGACCGAATTGTGGAAATTGGTTTTGTGGTGGAAATTGGTTTTGTGGAAATCCAAGCATATTCATATTATTCATGTTATAGGGTTGAAAACCAGAAGTACCATCGTGCCTAAATTGTTCAAAGCCTAGGGGGACATTACCGTGGTCATTGGTTGGAATGGACGGACTCGAAATTTGGGGGCTTATTGGATTAGGTGATTCCCTAGAACTATTACCACGGACAAATTGGGCTTTCCTAGAGGATGATGGGTTGTTCATGTTGGGTGATGCCATAATTAACAAATTAACAATTATAAGAATAACAATAATAATAATTAATAACAACAATTATAACGATAGTAATAATAATAATAATAATAATTAATAACAACAATTATAACAATAATAATAATAATAATAATTAATAACAATAATTATAACAATAATAATAATTAATAAGTAATAACAATAATAATAACAACAATAATAAAGATTAGTTAGATCTTACAACCGTGCTTCAACGCTTTCTACTAATTACGATTATGAACTTTTAATTTTTTTTGATATTAATAAATAATAATTAGAGAATATAAGAGATTAACAGAATTAGAGATTAAGAGAAGAGATGAGTTGAATTGTGATTTGGAAGTGAATGAAATTTGGTATTTATAGGAAAATTTAGGAAAATAGTCGTTAATGGCCGTTAGAGGGGAGAAAGAGTCGTTAGAGATTAAGAGCAACGACATTATGGCCATTTTAACAGCCATTGCTGGGCATGCCAGGCCGGGCCGTGCCTGGCGGGCCGCCCACGTGCCAATAAAGGACCAGCACGCCGGGCTCGTGCCGTGCCTGTTTTCTGGCTGGCTTGCACGCGGCACGGCCCATGGCCCGCCTAGCGACCATCGTGTCGGGCCGTGCCGGGCCGCCTGCAGGCTGGCACGCCCCATGCCCACCTTTAGTTGGCGAACAGGTACTTGTTTTACATTTTATTATGTTTTACATTTTAGAATGTTCCATGGAAGGAACACTTGAAATTTTAGAATCTCCCTCGGAACATTCTAAAATTTCAAGCGTTTCCCCCCATAACATTCTAAAATTTCAGGCGTTTCCCCCCTTGAACGCCTGAAATTTTAGAATGTTCCAAGGGTGATTCTAAAATTTAAGGCGTTCTTTCTATGATTACGAAAAATAAAATTAAAAAAAAAAAGATAAAAATTCAGAGCATTCACCGACTCCGTATGCTCCGACGACCTTTCCAGTGGCGTCGTTGCTTCCTTAAACTCGTCCATTCACCGTTTGCGCTAATTGGTGAAGAGTAAAGCAATTTTTAAAAAAAAAAAAATTATGACGTGGTGGTTGTTCGTAGGTGATGGTTGTTGATGGGGCAACAAGTTAGAGAGTGGTTAAAGAAAGTGAAAGTGAAATAGGGTACATTTTATATTGGGACATGTTTATAAAGTCATGTTAAAATACGGACGTTATCCGGTAAATACCGGACGTGGTTTAACAATTCACAGAATTAAAGTGGGATATTCTCAACGGTAACCCCCAACAATTGCTACGCACCAATGGTAACCCCCCCTTTTTTGGATTATACAAAATGACCTTAATTTAATTTTTTCAATCACTCATAACCTTATTTCATTAAATTTATCAACTATAGTTAGATTTCTATTTAAAATAAAAAAAATAAATAAAAAAACTAATAAAATTAACCCAGCCACCTGCCAACCACCCCCAACTTTATTTTTTTTTCCCTTTCTTCTTCTTCTTCAGGCCACCACCTCCATAACTTCAGGCCACTGCCTCCCCGGCCTCTTGGCCCACTTGCCTTCCGGCCACCCTACCCAAAAACCCATCCCCTTCCCGTCCCTTTCCGATTTCCGGCCACCCCCACCTGCCCAAACCCCATCCCCTGCGCCGACTAAGCTAATTCGCCCATCTTTACCCACTTTTCCCCTTAAACCACCATCCTCGACACCCTAAAACCCCAAAAACGAATTCCCTAAGATCAAAACTGTAGATTTTGGCATTCCATCAACCTTCTGTTGATTGTGGAGGGGATTCTTCAGTTGATTGTGGCGGAATTCCGGCAACCTTCGCTGGTCAAAAACTGGTGATTTCGAGGTCAAAATCCAACAACATTGCAAGCCCATATCCGTTAGTTTCGCTGCGAAATCCGGCAATTTTGAGAGGTAAATTCGGCTGATTTTTGCAAGTTTAATACGATTCCAGCCACCGCAATTTCGGCAGGCTTGTTCCGGCAAGTCGATTCTTCAATTCCAGCAGTTTTCAAGAATTGCTAACCGTCGGGGAAGGGAAAAGGGGAGGGTGGTCGGGGAAGGGGGTTGGGCTACGGCATTCCGGGGGGAAGGGGGAAGGACTCGTCGGTTGTTACGGCTGGGTTATGGTGGGTGGGCTTTTTGGTGGGGGTGGCTGGCAGGTGGTTGGGTTAATTTTAATAGTTTTTTTTTTTTTTTTTAAATAGAAATCTAACTATAGTTAATAAATTTAATGAAATAAGGTTATGAGTGATTGAAAAAATTAAATTAAGGTTATTTTGTATAATCCAAAAAAAGGGGTTACCATTGATGCGTAGCAATTGTTGGGGGTACCGTTGACAATATCCCAATTAAAGTCTTGCTTCCCTCCTTTTCTGAAATCAAACTATAGAAAGACAGAAAGAGAGAGAAGGGACACCACCATAATTCGACAAACACAAACCTTAATAGCGCACTACAAGAGTGAGAAACAATGGCGATTGCAAGAACTGGTGTTTACGTCGATGATTATTTGGAATGTTAGGGTTCTTATTCCCTTAATTATCTTCATTTTATTATGCTTGATTAATTTCTCAATCCCCAATTTTCATTTGATTAATTTCCCAATTTTCTGTGAATTGACAGATGCCAGTACCTTGCCTGCTGAGCTTCAAAGGCTTCTCAATACAATCCGCGAGCTTGATGAACGTTCCCAGGGTAATTTCTCTCTCTTAATTTTGAATTTAATTCAATTTGAGGTTGATTTTGGAAAATTAGGGTTATTTTTCGATTTGGGTTTTTTGAAATTTGTTGATTTGTGGTGGTGGTGGAAGGAATGATAAATCAGACGAGGCAACAAACGAAGTATTGTTTAGGGATTTCGGGCCAGAGCTCAAAAAAAGGGTATAATGGTGAAGATGATGATGTTGGACTTGACAAATTGCGGAAAGATATAGAAGCGACTCAGGATAATGCGTTAAGCCTTTGTACCGAGAAGGTTTTACTCGCTCGACAAGCTCATGATCTTGTAAGCTTCTCCTTAGTCTCTGAATTCTCGTTTTAGTGTTGAATGTTGGAGCTTTTGGTTACTTACATGCTCGTTTCGTTGCTAATTATTAGAGAATTGATGGTGGATTGTTATACTGTAGTCGGCAGCTTATTCTAGATGTAAGATGTAAGTGCTAGGCTGCTAGCATTAATATGCCGGGAAAATTATAGTAGTATATTTAGGAGTAAATGGTAGCCAAAGTACTTAGTACAATAGTGAATTTTAGACTAGCACACCAATCACATTAGGAATCTTATTATGTGTTAATATGTTTGCAAACCTTAACCTAGAATGTCCCTTAATAGAATGTCCATTTCATTTTGAATTCAAAATGTGCTTTTGACTACTAATCTCTTTAGTTTTGATTAACTACAATTATAAAAAAAGTTGATATTATAAAACTACACATTGAGACGAACCTACCATTATTTCACATGACTTTTGTTTTGGACTTACTAGATGAGAAATTTTTGTCAAAGATTAAAGTTTGACCAAAAATGGATATCGGCAATATATTATAGGACAAAAGGAGTATAACCTTTCCTTCTATTTTCTCACACTTAGTCATTCCTTAGCATTTCTATGCATGCTTTAGGAGAGAGATCTTGACAAAACAAGTGCTATCAAATATTTCTAATTTTGATTTGTTGATATCTTGTCTGTTTGTTGCTTTGGGGTATTACTCCACTCATATAATTGTCTCATAAACTGTTTTGGTCGTATCCCAAACATTGTCTCATTACCTTAGATGGAAAATTTTCCTCACCCAACTCGTTCAACCCATGTGATGTGTGACTCTACTACTAACTAACTAACTAACTAACTAACTCTCTCTCTCTCTCTCTCTCTCTCTCTCTCTCTCTCTCTCTCTCTCTCTCTCTCTCTCTCTCTCTCTCTCTCTTATTTTATGTGATGTGGGATCTCCCACTACATCTTTTTCTATCAATCTATTTCTCTATTTTCTTTCCACTATCTACCAAGAAGTCTACATCATGGTATTAAATTTTGGCCACATGATCGCATCGCAATCGCATTGTAAAGGAATTTAAGCTTGCCACAATCGATATATTAGGCTGTAACAGCTGTATTCCACCCACGTTCCTGGGGAAAGTGGCTATGTGACCGTCACCGCGATTGTGACCACATCTGAGATTTAAAACCATTGTCTGCACTACCATATTATTTATTAGTAATACGTGTGTCGAAGCCTTAGAGGACAATAATTTGAGCCTCAAATTATGGCTACTAATTTGCTTATTAAGGGGGAACAATTGGTATTATTATCAAAGTTTATGTTCTTAAATGTAGCTATTTTAGGTCTTCAAACTTTTACTTCTTTTTTATAACAAAAATTAAATCAAGTTTTAAGCAACTAGTAATAATATGCCCTTCAACATTTCAAGCCAATAAAGGTGGAGAGCCCCAAGAACATCCACAACCTTTTTATTTTTAAAATTGCAATCCCATATGGCTATTATAGGGTCCACAATGCAAAAAATAGGGTGAAGCGACTAGACCCCCTTCTTATTGGCTTGAATTGCCAATTAGTCCCTATTGTGGTATGGTCATATGTGAGTCTGAGGATGCTGATCTAGATGTTTTTGATGGAGAATTTTGATGTTATGCAATGGAAGAATTAGAATCTATGGAACACACTTGATTTGTCTTTTGGAGTTCTTTCAAGCAGGAAACTCTTACACCAATGTTGGTGTTAGGAAATAGGAACACCCCCCACCCCCTTCAACGATGAAATTAGTCACAGTTTAAAAACTTGAATCTCTAAGATGGTCAAGAAATCTGAGGGTTGGAAATATAGTTTTGAAGAGACATGCTTTGACAACTTTTGTGTAAGATGATAATGGTATGACACTTGTTTCAAAAAATGCTTTATGTTCACTGTTCATGTCCTCGCAGGAATACTTAAAGGCCTCCAATAGTGGATTTCACTTGTGAGATAAAATAAACTGATATGAATCCTAGGAACCTTTACTAAATCCAAGTTTTTGAAATAAAGTCCATGATATATTTCTTGAAGTTTAAGACCTAAACAAAAAGGTGTGAACTGGAGACAACAATTCGTTGGTTTTGAAATCACTATAGCTCAAGTTGACTAATATTTTCACACACAAAATTTACTAATATTCTGAGAGGAGTACAAAGGGAAGGGCAATGTGTAAAGTGGAGCTGTTAAATATCAAACCGTGTACTGAAATTCAGTGCTTAGTTACAAGTACTACAATGCTTCTTTGTGCCTATACTCAACTGATTATCCTTAGCCCCTAGCATATATCATATTTGTGTTTTTCATTGTCTACTCCCGAAGCAACTAGGAAAGTAATATGACCTTGCTGCCAAAGGCAGAAACACATAAAAATAATCCAGCCCAAGTTGCTTATTACAACATATTAAAATCACCATTGTCATAGCAAGGAAGTAGTTAGATTGTGATCACCAAGTAATCAACATCATCATCATCATCATTTCAATATATCGAAGCTTCTAGCGTAGTTAGCTATAGTAAACTAAAATACTCCTCCGTTATCTTTTAAATGCATCACTTGCTTCATTTGGCCTTTTGTTTTTTTAAATGCATCACTTCTATATTTTGTTAACTTTATACCATATTTTATTTTCTCTCTTCCCTAAAACCCCAGTCAAACTATTTTATCATTCCTTTCTCCTTCATGGTCCTTATTTAAATGATTAAAAAAACTACTCTCTCTCACATGCTATCTCTTTTATGATCCTCATTGTACTTTTATTAGATAAATCAAATATCTACTTGCCTCACTTGCAAAATATAATATTAGAGCAAATAATCTCTCCTAAATCTTCGCGTAAATGCAAGTGATGCAATAAAAAAAAAAAAAAAAAACCAAAGGGAGTAACATACTAAAATCTAGATAATTTTTGTGCTTGTTCTAAATCCTAGCCATCTATTTATTTATTTATTATTTCTATAGATTTCTCAAATGCTGAAAGCTCTATTTTTGTCTCTGTATTGTCTTTTTAAGGTGCTGATGAGCATAAAGAACTTGCTTTTTCTCTATAAAGACATCAATGGTCAAAGTTGTGAGTTAGGGAGCGTGAAATTCTACATGTCGCAATAATTATGGAACAAATGAACAATAGCTTAAGACTTGGGATAACTTGGTATAGCGTTTCTATTCTGGTGTTTTCAGGTGCCCTTTGTGGTGTAATTCATTTGATACTTTAGTACTATTTTGCTCTTCACATATTTCTATGTGATGAGTCTTCTGGTGCTTGTTAATGGCTAATTTAAAAGGTGATTGATGTCTTCTTAATGACTTGTTTTGTGGCAATCAGAAAGTTTGGTGATTTAAAGTCTGAGCTAATACTTTTATGACAACGTTTAACTCTTATACAAACAGCTTTTGAATGGAAGAGTGGACACCAAACATTACATTATGGGATCCATGTATATTCATTTGCATGTTTTCCTTGCAATTAAACTGCTGAAGCAGTGCATTTCCTTGCAGATAGATAGTCATATAAAGCGCCTAGATGAAGACCTGAACTACTTTGCTGAAGATCTAAAGCAAGGTATCTTGTTCAATTGTATTTTTCAAATTCTGACCTGCTGTAGCTCTCCTTATCTAAAATATCTTCAACCACATACTTGCTTTCCATGATCAAGAGGGTTATAATAGATTGACTTTGTTTTCTAGTATTCTCCTATTGCAAATCTGAATAACGGCCTTTTTATACTCTTTTCACTTAGCCCATAGAGCTGTAGAGCTGGTTATTGATTTGTTGCACTTATATTAGGTAAATGTATAAAGGAGGGGAGGGTGTTGCTTCTGATTGTTGGTGATGATTGTGCTCGAATTTCTTGGCTCATCTAGTCATCATGGTCCTATCTCAATGGATCGTAGTCAACTCAACAACACGTTTTTTTCTTTTCTTTTTTTTTTTTTTGGCCGAGTGTGGGGGGTGGTAGGCGTTAGTGCGCTACTGTTAAGTTAGGCTTGTGCTCATTGTTGATATTTCCTCTTAACTTATGCAGAGGGAAAGTTACCACCGGATGAGCCTGCCATTCTTCCACCCCTTCCCATACTTACAGCACCAAAATCTGAAAAGCAGCGAAGTGCATATGGAACACCTCAATCAAGGCGTTTTAGTTACAGAGACAGGGATTGGGACCGTGAGCGAGATAAAGATTCAGAGCTAATGCCACCTCCTGGTAGCCACAAAAAGGAATTCCCTGTCCCTGTTGATACTGATCAGCCTATTGATCCAAATGAACCAATCTACTGCGTTTGTCATCAGGTGATTACTTAATAATGAGTTCTTTGGATTTGTCTAAAGTCTATTTAAATGCATATAATCTTGCTTAAATTTTTAAAATTATATGTTCAATATTGCAGGTATCCTTTGGGGATATGATAGCATGTGACAATGAGAGTGTAAGTTTTTGCCGTTTTTTCTTTCTTTTTTTTTTTTTTTTCTTTTTTTTCTGTTTTTTTTTTTGGTACTGCTCTTTATATCTATTGATTTATGGCCCTTTAAAGTTTGAAGGCTCCAGAGTTCTTGCCTTTTGTCTATTTCAATGGTGCTCCTAAAGATACATGCCAACTTGGGCTTTTCCTTATTGCTGCAAACTTCAGTTTGTGCGCAGACAAGTTTTTTTTTTTTTCTTTTTCTTTTAAGTATGTGTGAAGTGCTGATAAATGGATAAGGGATGTGGTTGTTGAAGTTTGAAAACAAAACGCCGTAGATATAATTCAGGTTTACTAGAACAAAATGAAGATTCAACATTGTATACCCTATTTACTGCACCATCACGCTTCCCTTCACAATGATTTTGACATTTCGAATCCTTGTGTCCAATTTAGTAGTTTACTGGATTTGTTTTGCTAATGTGAACTTGTTTGAGAAAGGTTTCGCCCTTTTGATAGAAAAACTCACCACTTTCTCAGTAGGATCAAAAGAGGGTTTTTGGTGGAGGTATGTAAAAGAGAATAAACTTAAAAGGAGTTCCGTCAAGATGCTCTGTTTATGTTGCTTATTGTATTTGTTACTTTACCAAAATAATTAGTTGCCATTTGTCCATTAGTTCTTAATATGTGGTTTGACAATAAGAAACGTTAAATTTTGGTAGGTTTAGCCTGCAATACAACTGCCATTATGCTCTTTCTTTTCACTTGAATTTAAAAAGGCAGTGGATTTTCGGACTTAATGTTTATACCGAAATCTAAGGACAAATATATGATATTTGTATTGGGTAAAACTTTTATTCTAATATGGAATCTGTCCATTAGTTGTTTGTCTAGCTTTGTCTGTCAAGGCTTGACATTTTCTACTAATTGATATTACGAGCAACTAGTTTAACCCATGTACGTCATTGCCAAAGAACGGCTATAGCCAAGTTCTCTCATTGTTTTTTTAACCTTCTTTTGGTGGAATTTTGTCGCCTGAATTTGGACCTTTCATCCATTTCCTTTATTAGCTTCAGCTGCTATTTTGCATTGTTTTTCCTACGGATTGTATTATTGTTATTTTAGTTGATTATTCTGAAAGTAAAATTCTGATTTTGTCAGTGTCAAGGAGGAGAGTGGTTCCATTATGCGTGTGTTGGACTGACCCCAGAAACGAGATTCAAAGGGAAATGGTACTGTCCAACTTGCAGCCCTCAGTTTCGGAACTGAATCACTTTACTGTATAAATCAACTCAAAAGCCAGGGTGGATCAGCATAGTATCATTCAGTTCAAGATTCAGAAGTTATTTTCTATATTTTGCCTCAGCAAAGCGATTCAATTTAACTGCCATCGGATTATCAATTTTTTGAGTCACATTTTGGGTGGGACTAGCAACTTGAAGCCTTTGCTGCTATTACGAGCTGTCTAATATTTTTTTTAGGAATTACAACTTTCCGAGATTGATTTGGCTGTTATGTGCATTGTAAATATGACCTTAACAGTTTGTAATTCCTCTGGGTATCATAAATTCCTTGTCAATGGTATGATAATTTCCTTTGTTAAGCCAGAATGTGGATTAATCTGCAGACAGCAGCAGTGTATGATACTCTACAACTTGTATATTTTTGTCTAGTGATATATCGTTTATGTGATTTATTTTTTAAAATCTTATATACCTAGATGATTTTATAATGACTAGGGTGGCTAACGCGTGCCATAGCTAGCCATTTGGGGAGCTTTTTCCATTTAACTTTAGTTGTTGACAACATTAATGAGAAAAAAAATGTAAATAAATATTTTTAGGGGTGTAAATAACTTTTCTAGGTCATCAAAAAAATGTAAACGGCACAACTTGTCAACAACTTGTCTCCTGTAAAGAGTAATTAATTTTGATGAGAGCAAATAAGTAAATAAACATTGTACTATTTTAGAGAATAAATTGTCCAAACACTATTAATAAGTGTTATTTCAAATTTCTTTAGGTATTACAATAGTTTGGTAACTATTATCTTTTACTTTTTTTTTTTTTTTTGACAAGCTATTATCTTTTACTAATCATTGTAGATTTATTATTGCTAATGTCAGAAATCTCTTTAAAAAAACATTTTTCTTAAAAAAAAAAAAAGAAAATACCTTGGAATTTTTTTTTGTAACAACACTCCTTAATGTTAATTTGTTTTGTGAGAATATACATTAGACCAGATTCTGAACATTGACTATATTTCAAGTGTTGATTTTTCATCATATGTTCTCTTAAAACGGCCTCTCTTTATTATTTTTCTCTCGATTGGCCATTCCCTCTCCTTTATTCTTCGAAACTTCCCTCATTTACTCCTTTCTCTCTTCTCCTTCATTACCTCTGTCATAGCAAAACGAATTGATTGCTTCAATTCGTGGGTTAATTTTAGCCTCCCAAAAGAGTAAGTTTTTATTTTCTCTCTCCGCTCATTTTGTTAGTGATTTTCTACTTTTGTAATAGTTTAGTGTGATTCGTCGTTCACTGTGTCTGCCATGGATTAAAAAACACCTAAAAAATTTCAACAATTTCGGAAGGTATTAGCTCATAGAACCATGTTCTATTCAGGGGAACTCTTTCTATCTAAGCTGGAGTTCCATGGCTCCTAAAAGAAAGCTTACAGCAAGAACAAAGCGTGGAGGGTGGGCTGGGGTGGGGGGGGGGGGGGGGATTACACTCATACGAAAACCACAATGACACTTTTGGCCCTTCGAAATCAGTGTTACATCCATGCTATACACAAGAGTGAGCACAATCAATACACATGTCAAAAAAAAATTAATTTGCAATTAAAAACCCTTTTATGATAAAAGGAACAAATCCACAAAATTAATAAGTAGCAAATTCATTAAATTTAACAGCTTACTTACCTCGAAATTAAGTAAATTGAGGTGCTCCCAATTGCAAAGTGCTCATACTGCATCCACGCAAAATACAACATATTTCCTATGGTTTAGAAGTATGTGTTATTTGGTTTTGAATTTATATAATTTCAATATGACTCGTTCTTTTAATTTTTGAATAAAAATTAACATATGTCATGTTGACCCCATCAACTGCTTTAATTGCCACATTCATGACGGTCTCTCATCAATGACAGGTCATGAGAAGAAGGTTGCTAGGCCAAAAAACTTTGCGGTTAGTTTTATAAAAATTTTATTGTTTAAAAAATGGCTTGTAGGCATATTGGATTTGCGCCTATAACATGGCGTAGGCGCTTGAAAGTTGTGCCTAGGCCATGAGAAGTGTAGATGGACATTAATGACAAAACAACATAATTAACTTTAGAGTTGCTGAAATTTACATTGTACACCAGGGTGTACCGTGGATGAAAATTGTCATTCAAAAAAAAAAAAAAAAAAAACAAGTTAGCTTTCTAAATTTATGCTCCTTAATTGAAGGATTTTTGTTATTTCCTTTCCATAATTTTAGCTTCTCATATCCATAATTGTTTATAATCAGTTTTTGAAAAAATAGAGAATTTTTAGAGAGAAAATAAAATTTCAAGAGAAAGAAATAAATTTTTTAGAGAGAAAATGATGGCTCATCGTGAATTTCTTCACGATCTATGATTGTCGATTTGCACTTGATGATCAGCAGATTGATGTTTTTGACAATTGATATTTAATTTTAGATTTTGTCATCAAATGAGAAGGTAGTTTTTAATTATATATTCTTTTCAATTTATATTTCATAATTTTGTTGTTGATGATGATGTTTTTAGATTATTATATTTGTTCATATATAATTGTTAGCAAATTCATCACTGAAAGAAAATGTAAATTTATTTTTATTATTATTATTATTATTATTATTATTATTATTTTAAATAAAATAAAAATTTTGTTATTTTCGGAGGTTGAAGATGAAGTTCTTTTGGGTTAGAATAAATGTTATTTTATCAGTTTTTATTTATTTATTTATTTATTATTTTTTTTTATCCATATTCATTGGAATGAATATGTTCATTGAGTTTAATTAATATGCTCTTTGGGTCTTAACTATATGTTCTTTATAGTCACAAACTATGTTGTTTGGATTTGAAATATGTGTTCTTTACGTTACAAACTATGTTCATCTAATTGCGTATTTTTTTTAAAAAAATAAAAATAAAAAATCATCTAATTGTATATATGTATATTTTTTTAAATCAAGATCATAAAAGTTGATGAAGACGACATACTTTTGGGACCTCTTCTATTGATGATAGATTTTCTGATAGATCTAAAGAACAATCGCTATATTAATAAAGAATATGCTAATATTATTTAAAGAACATTATTTATATTATTTACCCAACATGTTGAAACATAATTCAGAAAACATATCACAATAAGTAATGAACATTGGTGTGACAATAATGGTACATTAAAATTACAATCAAAACATGGACATTTAAAAATCATATAATGAACATCATAATAGATATGCATGACCAAGATGAATTTATAAAAAAATATAAAAATATATAATTGGTTATTTAGAGAATTTTCTTAAAAAAGAAAAAGAACATAATAAAAATATTGGAATTTGAAATTTTGAAAATGAATTTCAAATTTTAAAATTTGAAATCTGAAATCTGAAATCTGAAAATGAAATCTTGATAAAAATAATTTTAGAGAGAGAAATTATAAAAAACTGAATATTTTGAAATGATTTGACATTAAATACGTGATAAAAATCAATTGGTAATTATCTTTTACCTATTTGAAAAACTGTTTCACCAAAATATCACGTTCTTTATATTTCAATGCTCTGTTCTTTTATAATGTCGTGATGTTCATTACAAATATAAGTTATGTTATTTTCGCTTTTTTCTTTTTTTTTTTTAAACTAGTTTTGATCTGGATGTACCATGCGCATGGTACACCTGGGTGTAGGGGTGTTCAAATTTGAGTACCCGGATATTCGGGTACCCGAAAATCCGGGTACCCGGATCTTCAGGTAGTTGATAAGTCGGCCCGTGTCTTGTCCCGGATAATTCGGGTACCTGGTGTTTCGGGGTTTTTTGATGTCCTGCGGGAGAGTTACAATTCCGAGACTGGAACCGGACGCCTGTACCTGCAAAACAAACGGATGCTCCGGATGATTGGAGATCCGCCTCCGACGGTCAAGTTAGTACTTGATTAAGGAGTAATTAATGCGGAAATTAAAGTGATTGGGTCTCTCTAGGTGAGAGTGTTTAATGTGTGTAATCTGCGTAATCTCCCTTAATGAGGATTAAGGGAGGTATTTATAACCTCGGGAAACGTGCCAATCTAGGTTTAGGTTAACCTTGGGCTGATTGGGCTTCCCTCGGAAGTTGGGCCTAGGTGGCCGACTTCTCCATTAGGCATGGAGTATGCCACGTGTCATGACATAATAGGTCCAAGGCGGACGAATAAGCGTGTGCCACGTGGCAAGCCCTGAGAGGTCCAACTGGGGAACACTTGGCAGGACCTGATTGGCCCACGTGGCGCATTCCGATTGGTGGGAGCAAAATCCCCTAATCATTTGCCCCTCACAGGTGGCACGTGACTGGTCACGTGTTACCTGTGACAGGTGTCGCCCTGTAACAGGCGACGACCTGCTACAGGTGTCACTCGGCGAGAGGCCGAGAGATTCTCCCGCCAAAATTTTGAATTCTGGAAGTGACCCTTCGCCTTCTCACTTCGCCTATATAAAGGAGTGTTGACTTCGGTCATTTTCACACTTGAAAACTTTGTGAGAGAACATTCGGACCCCTGAACTTGCTCTGACATTTTGGACCCTTTCTGCCTACCGCCTGCTCTGACAAGCCGACTGCAAAGGATTTTCAGAACTTCATCAATCGTCACTCGTTTAGGTAACCGTCGGTTCTCTTACTCTTAATTTTCTCTTTACTTTATTCTTTTTTGAAATGGCACCACGGAAGCACACGACACGACCTAGGTTAGTGATCAGCCGGTCACCGGGGACGGCTGAATCTAGGACTAGGAGTGCCGCCTGCCCTTTTCTGGACCCATCTTTGCCCTTTATACAAAGTCCGACTGTATCTGTGTCTATGCAGAGCATGATGGCCAGAACAAAAAAGACTGCCAGGATCTCAAACTCAGACGGCTCCTCCCACAGGGTGCCGATTAGTGAAACATCTGACCAGGCGCCAGATGTGGAAGTGAAACAAAGCGGCTTGAAAGCCGGCAGTTCTGAGGGAGGAGTCAAAGTGACCCCTTCCCATTTTACAGTTGACAATTCTACATTCTCTCCTGCTCCTTTTAAAGGAGAAGAGGCGGGCCCCTCCGGGAGAGGGGAGGAGTCGTCCTCTTCGGACTCGTCAGAGGACGAATCCGAGTCTAGCTCTTCTGGCCATGCTTCTCTGGACACAGAAGAGAAAAACAGTCGCCTACAAGAGGCGAGGCTTTCTCACGCAGTTGAGAAGGGGGACGATTGGGCGGAGCCATCCGCCTCTCACCGAGAGCAAAATACCCCCTACTACTGCACGGTACCTCGGGGCCGGATCACGGCCATGTAAGAGAAAGTGGGGAGCTTTATCGCAAACCACACAATGGGCCCCGGCTTTTTAGTGTTCGTGCCGGATCCAGAAGACACAATCGTCTGGCCGGCTGGTACCAGTTATGATGGCGCCTGCTTTGGCTGCTACGAGGCGGCCATCAAGGTTGGGCTGCGCTTCC